TTTTTTTTTTTTTTTTTTTTTTTTTTTTTTTTTTGCGTCTGATAATGGCGTGATGCACCTCTTTGTTTTCAGCACCTGGTCAGTAATATTTAATATGTCAAAATGTTGCTCTTTTTTCCACCCTCATACATAGTACAAGTGTAAAGATCTTATGATGCTTGACTTATTGGTTATTTTCATGACTAATTGGACAACAAGACTGTATTTGCTTGTGGCAATTTCAAATCACAAGCCAAGGATAGCTGCAAAACTATTATCTAATCGCTTCTTTTAATAAAATGTTTTTTTTTTTCAAATTAAAATGTTTTTTTTTTTCAAGAGAACGTTTAAAAATTGAAACATAATTTTACGCATGAACAGAGAAACAAACGTTCCCCGTGAAGTAAACATTGGAGCATGGGTATTCCAGTACTTCAACAGAAGATATCTTGTCTACACTTCTCTCTGATGGCACGCCGCAAGACCCTTCCGGTGGAGTGATATTGACCAGATAGATGGAGCATACAAGATTCTGCGGGTGCCTTCTTAAATAAAAATACAAAACCAGGAAAACTCTCCCGTCATATGTCTTTGTAGAACACAAGATAGAAATTTGTTCGTTTTGCTTGTTTTATTTCTTGGACGGTATCTAGAAGGGGGTTTCTCCGATGGCACGCTGTGCCCCCCCCCCCCCATCCGACCCAACATTTCACTGTCATTGCATGGGCGGAATCCATCTTCACTTTCAATCTATTGGAACAAGATCGCGCCGCCATGTTGGTTAAATTATGTCACGTTTTTAATTGAGCGTGTGAAAACTGAATCATGAGCAGGCGCTCTCAATATATCACGCGCGCTGGGAAGACAAAAAAGTCGATGACCTGAATTGTAAAACAATGTTTTTGTTTTCAAAATATGTATTTTCCTTTACGTGACAAGCTCGCTCTGACTTTTTGAGCACATTAATACATTTGAATTAAAATATCCATTTTAAATATTCTTTTAATGTCAGCTAGTCTAGACAAAATATGACAAATATTTAGTAGAATCCTCATTGCAACTTACATCATAATGGACCGTTACCCTCTCCCTTTGGCTTCATTAATTACTTCTGATGAATGAGTTTTGTCAAATAAATAAACTTAAGAGAAATAAGATAAAAGAAAATTAAACAAAACAAATACAACCAACGCTCTCTCTCTCTCTCTCTGTTCTATCGGTAATCGGCATATCGCCTCACAACAAGAGCGTCAAAGTGGGCGTACTTCGACATCTAATACTAATAAGATCACGTAGGACCCGGGACCCAGGAACAGAAGGAGAAGCAAAACTGGCAGTAACAGCAGTAATCGCTGCAAAATAGCTTTGCCCTGTGACCTGAGAAAAATCGCAGCGATCACTAGGGCGCAGTAATCGTAATTAAAGTTGACGGTAATTGTAAATGGCTTGGTTGTCCCGCCGTATTAACGAGTGCGTAAACATAACGCGAGGCGATGGGCGAAATAACTAGCAGCTGCGAGTCGTTCTAGCCCAGTGATCGGGGATATTAATAGGAAGCCGTTCAGAATCGGCCTCTGTTTTTGCTCAGCTGAGAGTGAGCCTGCGCTCAACTTAGGATCAGCTTGGTTACAGCCACTGTTTAGTTCCAGCTACTCCAGAGCAAAAGCGGAACTATCCCAGTTTTGCGTACGTTTTAAGACAGGAATCATCCGGGTTTGCTTCAGTTCAGCGGAAATCTTCAAGCATATTTCAGTTTGGATCAGATCGGACAGTTTGCCTGCTGAACTCCTCGTCAGCTAGGGGACTACAGTACAGACGATTCCGGGCAACTCCTCGGTTCAGTTACCACCCAGTCACGCTCTCTCTGCTCTGTGTTACTTGGAGTTAACGCAACGGAATCGGGTATTGGAGCATGCCATTGCCAATAACCTAATTTCTGAAGCTATCTACAGACCGAGTCGTCGACCTATATTGAACTACTACAGAAAAAAATGAGACAGAGGCGTCAATAATTTCTAAAATTCCTACAAAGCTTTGCCAACTAGCAGAGCAACAACAGAAAGCTTTGTTGAGAAGGAGTTTGAAACCTGGAATCTGAAACTTGGCCTATAGCCTAGGGTAACAAACTGCGTGAGAGACATTGTTCTTACTTTTTCGGAATTTAACATTTTTAAATTTTGAAAAAAAAAAGTTGACAATAACAAACTTCGTATATTCTCTTAAATGTGAATTTCTTATGAACTAGGAGTGTATGGGAACGTTGCAATAACTTCAAGAAAATACAAGACTGAACGACGCAAAGAGACCTTGGGCCAACATTAAGGAGTGGAATGTTTGTCCACATGTAGACGAATTTAGAAAAAACGTACTTTGGGTATGTGACATTAATCATAGCAACTTCTGTGTAACACGGTAATACTGTGAATTCAGGATGGAAACATAGCAGTGTTGGGTTCCTTAGAAACACGGAAAGGTGAATAGGGGAATTTCCAGAATCTGAAGCTCTCAGAATTGGGGCGGCAAAACACCTGTCCATCACTGTACTGCATCGTCTGCTTCATTCTCACGGTCGTCTGCTTGTTGGGAACGCCATCCAATATGGCGTCTGAGAAAGGCATGTCGAGCCTTAAAAATGGAGGGCAAAAACATGCAGACGTGAAAGAAGAAGAGAGCGGGAATGTCAGTGACAGTGGCAGCGAGTGCTCTTGTTCTACGGACGGTTCCCAAGGAAATATGCGTTCCAGTCGGAAACGTAAGCGTGGAGAGAGCGTTGACAGCGTCACAGGACCGGCCCCAGTCAGGCAACGCCAAGCCGCGAACGCGCGCGAGAGAGACCGCACGCACAGCGTGAACAGTGCGTTTGTGACACTACGGACCTTAATACCCACAGAACCAGCCGATCGAAAATTATCCAAAATAGAAACTCTTCGACTGGCCACAAGTTATATTTCCCACCTCTACACCGTATTGACCGTTGGCATGGACATAACTGAACAGCCGTGTCTGAAACACCAGGCGCTGATGTCGCACCCCGTTGACACTGGCTCTCCAAGGCCCGTGTGTACTTTCTGTCTCAGCGCCTCCAAGCTCAAAAATGTGAGTATTGTCATGAAATGCCCATGATAATAGAATGTTTTTTTTTTTTTTTTTTTTTTAGATTTTCTTATATCAGTATTAATATAGCCTCAGATATGTGGAAAAATCTAACAGTCTGTTAGACAAAACATCTGTAGGTGAGATTTTATTTTACTTTCCTGGTACGTTATATCTGTTGATACTTAGCTGTGTGAGGCTTATACCATACATGGATTTTGGTAGATATTATTTATTATTATTTTCTATAACAAGCTATCTGTGCAAGTATTTATTACCGTCTTTTTTCATACTTTTTAATCAAAGTTTTTCCACTGTTTGTTAGTTGGCTACGTGAAGTATACTAGAGTCTAACAAAAAGTCAAGTGCCATGTGGTTAAAAGTGTTATTTGAAAAAGAGAGAGAGAGAGAGAGAGAGAGAGAGAGAGAGAGAGAGGGGGAGAGAGAGAGAGAATGTCCAGCCACCAAACAACATATTTCGTTTTTATTTTATTTTATTGTCCGTCAAGATATTTACGCAACATTATGACGCTGAGATTACACAATTCACTTTTTTTCATGACATGCCTCATTGCTAAAGAATGATAGTCCATATGCATTATAAAACATGCAAGTATGAAGACATCACATATACGTGCAGAAAAGCATGATTGCATATACAGCTTTATAGTGCACCTGGACCGGTGTATAAATACTTACCACTAACAAATACCTCGATACAAATAAACAATAATTAATGCGTCGTCTAAAGACTTGATTATATCATCAAATACATCACTTCGCCTGTACCCAGATCATAGACTGTGTACTCTTGCTTCGGTATGTGCTGTGTTTGCTAAAGCCCCCTTTACACTGGACGGCGTCCTTTCTGCGTCCAGCAAGCCGGCCCCATTTGAGAGTTTAAAAATTATAATATTTTACGTGCCGACAACTGGCCGATCATTGAGCATTCATTCTGATACAAAATTAATGCTCGTTCCTCCTTATTAAGACCACAGCGATGCCAAATTTTATGGTCGTAGAGAGGACGCAGAAAGGACGCCGTCCAGTGTAAAGGGGTTATAAGAAATGTAGACTGTGGTCATTGGTAGTTTATTATGGCTGACGAAATATGATAACACCATATAAGTTTTGATATTTACTATACTATTAAAAGGCCACTAAATTTACTTGGATAAATCTTAATATTCCAGTAGCATGTTTACCACCTAGTGATATATAAAACGATATGTAGTCAATTGTTTTGTATCTGGACGTAAGACCTATGGGAAATAAATGTGTTTAAGTGTGTGATAAAGTGTTAATAATATGAAATATGCCCAAATATTTTTCCGCGACATATTTAATAAGGTTTATTACAAAATATCATCAAGAGTTAAAATAATCAGCTTCATTTCCCTACTGCGTTCAATTAGGTGTTAGTCCCCAACCTTTAAAAATTAAAAAATTAATGGAAGAAAATTAAAAACGAAAATTTTATTTTGTAAATTACAGTGATGTTTCAGTTTATTTAATGGTCTTACATGTATGTTCTAAAACAAGCTTTTAGCATAATAGTACATTTGGCCTTCATTTTTTTATCAGTACAAGTATGACAATATATATTCTTTTGTTGTCGCTTAAAAAACCATTCAGAACAAATGACGCAATTTTATGTGTATTTGAGCACAATACGGCTAATGCACTAAATATAAAAACCGCTATTTCACAGCCCGATGACTACCATATGAAGTGAGAAACAACTTCCTTCTGCTCTTTGCGATATATAATATGTACATTTAGAGCCATGAGTTTTGCATTTATGAAGACACACCTGTTTCCCATAACTAAACTGGCTGTGTGTTCTCTTTGTTTTACACCACGATTTCACAGTAATTGATAACATACAATGACCAACTTTAATTGTTTTTGTTTCTATTTTGAGGTCAAAATTGACTGAGTAAAGTTCGTGGAATAGTAAATGAGAAGATTAGATTTTAATTCACTTTAGGTAATGAAGTGATAATGAATTCATGGAACCGTCCATTTTAACGTCATTTTTACAATCACCATTTATACATGTGTCTCGTAATTAGAAACCATTATATCACTAATTTAAGAAGTTCATGAAGAATTTGTAGAAATGAAAACCCTGATGAATTACGTTTATCCCATGCCCCTCATATCGACAGGAAAATAAATTAGAACAACAGAAGGAAATTTGCGAAAAAAATAAAATATACATTTACTTGTATTTGAATGAAAAACCATGTTGTTAATGAGTATTATATTATAAGAGGTAGCCGTCTTTACTCTGTGCTGTGATGGCTCTTACTTAGGAGTCAGGGACATCAATTCATTTTAACCGGATTAGAATAATCAATGATGGTTTCTTTTTATAAAGAAAAAACGCATACATCATTCTCACAAACTTAATAGTGAATATTTTTCACAAATGACAGTTATTAGCACAAGCTGAAAATATTTTTCAAACCGTTAGGCCAACATGAACGTAGGCTTTCATCAGACTGTGCTAATTAATTATCATTTATGATCCAAATACCAAGATAATGAACGTTTTTTCTCTTTAAATATGTTTTATTTATTTATTTAATCTTGCCCGACAACGTTACTAGAGTAACGTCAATTTGATATTCTGGGGCTAAACGACGGGCTTATAATGGAAGCAACTCAGATTTTTATTGGATTATTTTTATTCATTTGTTTCATTTATTCATTTATTTTTTAAAAAACGTGGCATCTTCACAGTAATAAACCCACATATCAATCACACGTTTTAAGAACACGTAAAGAGGAAGAAAAAAAATGCCAATTTCCATGTGCTCTTAAGAACGGTTATGGGTCAGTAACAGCAATACAACTGCAAGCCGGTATGGCTTCCTTCTGTTTGGAAACAAAGCGATATTAAGTCACACGTCTTACGTATACACGGTCCCAACACCCCATGTATGATTAACAATGCCCTGAACATGCGACGAATCAAGCAAAGTCACGCACATCCAAGTTCAGGGACTCCTTTCAAGAAGGCCAAACCCTTGTTGAGATGAATTGAAAACGCAAGGACATCAACTTTCTGTGTATTTCAAACGTGCGAGATGATGTCACGTGACACTTTGAATTTGACAAATGGTGGTATAGGTTCGTACTGGAGAGACCGTATGGGAATAACAACGTTGGAAGTATTTGGAGAGTTAGAGTTAATGCCACGTGACACCTAGAATTTGACGAATGTTAGTTTGACTAGCTACTGGTTGAGGTGGTATGTGGGAGTTAAAGTGAGTTTAGGTGTTCCTGGCATGTTGTTGAATGGTAAAATAAGAGCTTAAAATTAAATATATAATAAATATATATAAAGAGGTTTAAGGTAATAACGATATAAAAATATGTATAACACGATTCATGGTGTACGTTGAAACTTACGTAATTTTTTGTGCAATTTTAAATATTTAGACTATTACATGTTAATAGAGGCAGTCCCTCGTATATAAACTTTTTGGAAAATACTAAGAAGCGGAAAATCCGTCGTGAAAGATTTAGTGGCTGACTATGAATTCCGTGTTCTCCCGGTATACCAGCATGGTATTTACCATCATTAATTAATAATTCTACGTATTTTCGAGATATCACATCGCGGGCAATGCTATATTTTAAAGTTTTTTTATGAATAAATCACAAAACATACGTTTGTTTCAATACTTCAGAACGTCGTCTGAAGACATATATATTGACATATATTCCCCTATCCATAAATGTCATTATACTTTCAAAATTACAATAAAAGAACAATTTACAAACTTGTGCTACTTATGCAATACTATACACATATATAATATGTTTCTTCAAGTAGACTTGTAGGACTAAGGGTATTCATGGCATACGAACATTTTTTTTTTTTTTTTTTTTTTTTTTTTGAAAAAAAATATATTCCCGCAGTGTCAAAAATACCAGTGTCAAAAATTACCGTGGTTGTGCGTATGACAGCATGCGGTTTTGAGAGAGGGAGAGGGTGGTGCAATTATTTCCGCTATAGTTAACATTCATTTTTCTGTGAAATGAAATTATTAGATAATGCAAAGACCTGAAGGGAGCTAGCTTCAATCACATATCAGAGATAAAAATGACTTATAAAGTAATTCTAAAAAAACATTTTATCCACTTTATTGAAAACAAACAAGGTTGATTGGGAGAGAACTTCCTCAAATTGTACCGTAGGAATCAAAGCTAAACTGCAGTGCTACATGCTGTGCTCAGTGTGCATCAGTATACAGCTTACTGCTTCTGTTTGTCAATCATGGCGCGGCAACCACTTAGTATAGTTTATCTGATACCAGGGCTTTACCTAACCCCTTTCAACCGGAGAAGGCAACATCAGAACGCCATCAATTGCCGTCGTTAACTTTCAAGAGAGAAACAGCATCTTTATCCAATTAAAATCTAGTCTGAGTTACACAAAATGGCCGCCGGAATGTGTATCTTGCAACAGATACGCCTTTTGAAGTCGTCTGCGAGCACCTGTCCAAGGCTGTCAGTTTTAATTGGCGCGCAAATGATTACCGTCTGCTTCAAGTAAAAAATGGATGAGAAGTAAAGTTCACGAGGAAAACGCCTAACTTTAGTGTATATTTCAGCGTAGGTATAGTGGAATTTTAAGGTCCGTTCTGTTTAGCTTTACGCGATACGGTTAAATTAAGTAAAACATTTCTCCTTATTTCCAACAATATGTTAACATACCAGTGAATTCCATCACAAAATAACTACCTAATAATCAACGCCCGGTAAGCCAGTGTATAGTTAAATGCCAGGGTAATGCGGCAGATATACCTGAATGTATGCTATGGTAAAGTGCAGGGCAGAAACGTCACGGAACAAATGTCTGAAGTTTTGTTTTTATTTACTGTATTTACTGTTTTTATTTATTGATGTTGACTTGTTTATGGATTCACACACAGCGCTTTCATTCACTACTTAGTAAACATGTTGACTCTGATGTTGTACCAAGTTAAATAATAAATAAAGGAAAATGTCAAAATCACAGTGAAGTAGAGTAAATACAGTCGCCACCAGAACTAGTATATATCAAGTTCTTTTCATTCACTCGTGCTGAAAACGAACTCAATCCAACCCTGACGGAGACATGCGTACTTCTGGTAAAAAGAAGAATTTATTGGGAATATTAAAAAAGAATTGTATAATCACACAAAATGACAACAAAAATGTTAGATTCAGCATAAAAGGTGCAGGTTTCAAAAATCGTTTCTGTGCTAGAATTAACCATTGCTTTCCATACATCTTATTATGAATATTCATTAAAACCGTCGATTGCTCTGAATCAAACATATTGGTTATACGTCTATATCCAATATTTCATTTAAGGAAAAACAAAATTCAACCACAATGTTTTCTCAGGGAACAACATGTAATAAATTGACAGCTTAAATAAGAAGTCACTTCTCGTCTTCGGAAATATTTTATCATTATTTTGTTTTATAATCGTTTTATTCAGTTAGAAACTAATGAATTGGTAAATAATGAATTCAACTAAAATAGAACAAATGCAAATACAGAAAAGGCAATTTCTATATTGAAGAATATAAAAATAAAAGATAAAATAAAAAAATATAATAAAAGAGACGCATGATAATAATGCGGATAACGTTATGAATGAATTAAATGATCGGTAAGTAATCAAACCTTTTCACATTTTAAATGTAAAATATGCATTTACAATTAAAGCCATATGTACTCATTAAATGACTGACAACGCCGTAATAAAAGAAACCATATGTACATGTAAATAATGACAGTTGGACAAAATTTGAAAATCAAAAAATAATTTAAATATCGTCCCAGAACGAAACCATAAATTTGCTGGTCTTTTTGGAAGCTTCTCTCCTGGGAGATGCACTGCGCATGTTATGATTCCGCGGTGCTATAGCATCAATCACCATCCATCACGGTAATTTCTTTGTACTAGCGGTTCCAATCCTCGAACTAATTAGGTTATTTCTAGTATGTCCGTGCACCCGATTAAATCTCGTTTATTTAGTGGAAATATACAGCAATCACTCTTCTAAATCGCGTTACCATACCCCTGGCTGTCATAACAGACAATTTATTTGTTTAATCAGACTCCCGTGTTTAAATGTTGATTATTTTAACACGTGTCCGGAGTGAAAGGTGAGCAACATCAGCGCGGGTAATATTTGTGGTTTTGACAACAAGCAACTCCTATATGGCCGAAACACGGAATGGAAGAATGAAGCCCAAACATAAGACTAAAGCCTTAATGACGTTTTTACATATTTTCATGAAGTTTACATACGAGTTTCCCCTGTATGATTAGAGATTTACTTCATTACTGCATACAGTATGCAAACGAGAGAGAGGGATGGATGGAGGGTACGCATGCAACGCTTAATGAGACCATTATAAATATTCTAATTATATTTCTCAAATCTTTGAAGAATGTGCTTTGCATGCCAATTAGATAAATACTTTTTTACCCAATGGATTTTTAGAAATCTGGTTTAAATGTTAAAGAGAAAGAAACTGCTTAAAATAACTCAAAATGGAAATGTTTCTTGAAAAGAACAAGAATAATTCTTTGCCAGTCATTGTCCTTATTATTCATGTTGACAATGTTGTGGTAGTACGTGCAAGTATATTCTTTATAGAATCCTATTTGTGTCATTATTTTCCGTTGCATGTGATATGATAAACTTAAATAAACATCTACCTTCTCACACCCAATCTTTGACATCCGTTTACCTTACTCATTGAAAAGATTTTGGATATTGTTTTTTTTTTAATTGAAAATTAGGAACAAAACACATAGGGACCATGTTTAAGCCTCTGTTGCTTTGTTAGTAACCACCTTTGCCGATACCTTTATTGACGGGTTTTGCTAACATTTTCAGGCTAGATGTATTTTTTATCACGGATGGTGGTTATTCATGCACGCAGAGTAAAAATAAACAATGTACAGTACAGCACTGGATGTCTGTGCACGAAGGTTAACTCATTTTGATATGTTTAAAAAGCCCTTAACCTATCTTTGTATCATATTTGTTTTTTTAATATTGCGATTTAATTATTTATTTATTTTTGTTTGTTTTTTTTATTGTTTGTTCATTTGTTTTGACGGGGTAATACGCGTAGTGATAGTTATTTATCATGTTATTTATATGTGTGATTCCTTCAGACAATGGTTGTGTTTCTATATTATTGGAATTTATATTATCACTTGTTTTACATGTATGCATCCTTTTTTTTCAGTTACGCCAAGAAAAAAGTTGCATGTACAAAGGAGGAGCAGATTACAGATACCGCGTAGGTATGTGAGGAAATACCACATACAAGTAGTGCAGGCGGACGAATAAAAGCGGAAGTCACACTGCCTCGATATGAAACCAAGCCAGCACCACGTCACGTGGTATCCTGAACCAAGGCGCCACATCCTATTCATGAATGCCTGTGTACCACCAAAGAAAAATTAGTTAAACTTTGGCACGATTTATAGAATATGAACCTATGAAATGGAAGACTTTCACATGGAACTGGCTCACTATCCCTGTCTTATTCAAAATATGACTAGGAAAAAAATGCAGTAATTTTGGAAGGAAGTTCGTGCAATTTCAATAGTATATGTGCTATTGTCTTGACGTTGCTCCTGTTCTGGATAATTTCAACCATAACTCAGATAATTTATGGTCGGGTTCATTTTGAATGCATGGTTCTGATATTTGTGTAAATAGCCAAGGCTATTATTATCATTCGTGCCTTAACTTCAAAAAGTTTGCAACATAGACGATGGTGCAAGGCGTTAAGAGGATATTCGCTGCACATTATTCATCACGTTACATTCGAGCATCAGTGGAAAAATATGCAGATTTATCGAATTAATATCGATGTAATCAAGACAATGTTTTCAAATCAACAAGACGGGGAGGGAAGTGAGACACGTGCCACTAAAGTGTGCAATAAAACAACGCCCGTAAATCGAGGATTCGTCAATGGGGAATCCATAGGATTATTTAGCAATTATTGCCGCTTATGTTGTATGATATTGCATTCATTCAAACCAAGACGTGTTGTGTAATTATTTCATTAAAAATGTTTAATCTTCATGTTAATAATAAATTGGTGCATTAGAAAGATGAATTATGCACCCACAAGAAGAAAATTATCAAAATGCGAATTACATATTTAATATGGGTTGAAACCTTTGAGATTGTTTGAAAAATAATTGTAAAATAAACATGTAGATATAGATGACGGACGAAGTTGCTTACTTCATCATAAGAAATCCTCAAGTTTTAAAAATTATTGGCTAAAATTGCAAGGTACAAATATATGATCTGTCTTGCAAAGGTTTGTTTCTCAAAGAATGTAAAAGACCGCTTACCTCGTTTTATCTGTCTAAAATTCGAGACAATAAACGACTTATTTTCTAATCCATTGTGTAGACATGCGTATGTGTTTCTTAGTGTGATATTTGAAATTGAACTCTTTCTTAGTTGCTTCCAATTACAAGCAAAACTTAACTGATTCATGTTAAATTAATGTCGACAGGTTGTTTATCACTGATTATGCATTAACAAAGGTTGATTAGGAGGAGGGGGGGTAACGACGGGTTAAGAGGCTCTTCATTTTTAAATGTTGAAACATTAGATGTACATGTACTGCTACTCTCTGTGTCATCCCTCACCCCCCCCCCCCCCAACCCCCAAGAAAAATAATAATAATTAGTAAAGAAAAAGAAGAAGAAGAAAGGTAGACGTAAGCAGCGCTGGTATAACGAGCTAAACAAACCCAAACCAATGGCCTTCCCGTTACAGTACCTACATGTATATAATAAGATTCTCCTTGTTGATTGTCTTATATTTGCCAATCTTTTATTGGCACCTTGCAATTCTGGTTACCCTTTTTCCCAGAAAAACAGTGAAGAATTTGTGGTTAACGATGTAGAATTTCTCCTACTTTTTTTCAATGTTCTCACCACTGATCTCTGGCAGGTTAGCCGTTTTTCCAGAGTTATTGTCATTTTGATACCAAATTTGCTGGCGCCAATACAAAATCGTTCATTTTAAGGCGTAAATTCACTGTTATTTCTTCAAGAGATTTTATACATTTGCTTGGTGATATAATTTTCAAGCGTATGGTCCATTTTGTTCAATATATCAGTAAAAAAACCACTGTGTGTACATGGAAGGGGTTATTTGACATTTTTGACAAGCTTACCATCTCGAGCATTTTTGCATTCTCCCCAAAAATTCATCATTTGTATCGCTAGTGTTACTTCCCAAAAGTGGACATTGGCTGTTGTCACCGCTGATGTTGCTAGAGAAGTTGTATTTTTATTCATTGTTCGTTTCTTTATATAATTCCTTCTGTTCATTCTTTTTATACAGTTTATGACGTGGGCTTGTACTGGATTTGTAATAGAATGACCTAGTAAGGAGCCCTTGCTAGTAGTTATCACGTAGCCGTATCAGTGGAGTCCCTTTACAGTGACACACCGGTGCACGTTACAGGGTCAACATGAAATATGGCTGTCACAAAATAATGTTTCATAACACCTTTTGTCTTAAGTTCTGCAAACAGGTACAACCTTGAATCACTTATCAAACGCACTGACTAAACTTATTTGAGTGAGGTAGAATTTTCTTCTAAAATTTTTGTGGGGCTAAATTCATAAATCAGCTGACTCATGTGACCTTGGCCCTGATATTATACTTGCCAATACTTGACACTAAGCTACAATAAAATAACTAAATAACCAAGAATTAACTCACATTACATGCATTCCCGGCATTTTCACTTCCCATCCAGTGCTGATTATACTTTAATTGAAATGCATATAAAATGCATTTGGGACACAATTGCTGGTTGATTTAAAACCGGTAAATATGTGGATTCAGTTAAAATAATCCAAAGAATTAAGATGGCGATAAAAGATTAAGTAGAGTTTAGCAGATGTGGCTGCGGTATCAAAATCATACATGAGAAGGTTTTTGGTTTATTAAATGCAGTAGGTGTGACAAGCCGATTGTGTTTAGTGACATAACTGCAACAGAACAGTCCTTTTACTTTTCTACATGCTGCCAAAGTTGACAGGCCCGTAGCCAGCAATTTCAGAGGGGGGGTCGTTTTCTGAAAAAGTGGACCTTTTTACCATAAAATTCTCAAGTACATAGATCAGATTTTACTTAGAGTGGACCTTTTCCCAGCAAAAAGGGTGGTTCTTTCGAACCCCTCGAACCCCACCCCCCCCTGGCTACGGGCCTGGTTAACATATACTAATAATATTGGAGAACAACATCTCATTGCAGCGCATGTTAATTTGCCGTATGAACATTTTAAGGATAACTTAAGAATGCCAGAGAGTGCGAGTTAAGTGAGGAATCGTGTCCACTGCTCGCAGGCCGTAGCAAAGTTTAGAATTATTGTCTGTTTGGAAGTCCCATGCCTGCATATCCCTTAAAAATTTAACCCAAGTGGCTTTTAAATATTAAAACCCAACCGATAATGTTTGGGAAATATAGTATACTGTCCATAAATAATTTGTCCATATCCTAACAGTGCGAACTCGAGAGAGAGAGAGTGAAACCCGAAGTTTATTTATATGTGTGATGCACGATGCCAAAGGGCCTTGCGATAAAATCCTGGATATGTAAAATAATCATCCATGTTCTGCGGTATGTTAGCTGAGTATGTAAATGAAATTAGACATAAGGCATTAGTCAGTAATTAAACACATGTAGTATAGCAAGAAAAATATTTGCAAATGTAATATTTTTGATAAAATACAGCACATGATTATTCATGTTTTACAAATATTTCTAAATCTGATACAAATGTAGACATGAAGGCAGTATATAGGAGAGGCCTCACATAATGTCAGTAATATTTCAAGTATTTCTCTTTAAATAATAAAAAGTATATATGTAATTACTGGATCGGAAGTAAAGCTGATGTGCATGCAGTATGGGACTTTTGCCCCTATTTTATAGCCAGTTTCGTAGTATTGATCATTACATGCTTGTTAAAATTGCTATTTCAATATTAATAATTAACTTATTGCTTGTCTGGGATTTGTGATTTTATTTTGATTTTACCAAAGCACTTGTCGCGCATACTAAAATTAAATATGCTTTTCTTCCTCGTTTTCAAATAGTTTTTCTTTCGCTTTACAGTGAAATATTTTCATATATAATTTTGCTGAGAAAACCCAGATAGTTTGAAATAAGTAACAACCATATACAATAATATAAATTACACATGTATCTAACTGGCGGATACTATCTATAGTATACAATTCCGTATTCCGTTCATTACCCCGGATGACTTTACAGAAAAAATAGCAAATAGTCCACCATATTTAGATAATATTTGAATAATAGATTTTTATAAAATAAAATTTCTTCTCGCTATTTGATTANGGGGTCGTTTTCTGAAAAAGTGGACCTTTTTACCATAAAATTCTCAAGTACATAGATCAGATTTTACTTAGAGTGGACCTTTTCCCAGCAAAAAGGGTGGTTCTTTCGAACCCCTCGAACCCCACCCCCCCCTGGCTACGGGCCTGGTTAACATATACTAATAATATTGGAGAACAACATCTCATTGCAGCGCATGTTAATTTGCCGTATGAACATTTTAAGGATAACTTAAGAATGCCAGAGAGTGCGAGTTAAGTGAGGAATCGTGTCCACTGCTCGCAGGCCGTAGCAAAGTTTAGAATTATTGTCTGTTTGGAAGTCCCATGCCTGCATATCCCTTAAAAATTTAACCCAAGTGGCTTTTAAATATTAAAACCCAACCGATAATGTTTGGGAAATATAGTATACTGTCCATAAATAATTTGTCCATATCCTAACAGTGCGAACTCGAGAGAGAGAGAGTGAAACCCGAAGTTTATTTATATGTGTGATGCACGATGCCAAAGGGCCTTGCGATAAAATCCTGGATATGTAAAATAATCATCCATGTTCTGCGGTATGTTAGCTGAGTATGTAAATGAAATTAGACATAAGGCATTAGTCAGTAATTAAACACATGTAGTATAGCAAGAAAAATATTTGCAAATGTAATATTTTTGATAAAATACAGCACATGATTATTCATGTTTTACAAATATTTCTAAATCTGATACAAATGTAGACATGAAGGCAGTATATAAGAGAGGCCTCACATAATGTCAGTAATATTTCAAGTATTTCTCTTTAAATAATAAAAAGTATATATGTAATTACTGGATCGGAAGTAAAGCTGATGTGCATGCAGTATGGGACTTTTGCCCCTATTTTATAGCCAGTTTCGTAGTATTGATCATTACATGCTTGTTAAAATTGCTATTTCAATATTAATAATTAACTTATTGCTTGTCTGGGATTTGTGATTTTATTTTGATTTTACCAAAGCACTTGTCGCGCATACTAAAATTAAATATGCTTTTCTTCCTCGTTTTCAAATAGTTTTTCTTTCGCTTTACAGTGAAATATTTTCATATATAATTTTGCTGAGAAAACCCAGATAGTTTGAAATAAGTAACAACCATATACAATAATATAAATTACACATGTATCTAACTGGCGGATACTATCTATAGTATACAATTCCGTATTCCGTTCATTACCCCGGATGACTTTACAGAAAAAATAGCAAATAGTCCACCATATTTAGATAATATTTGAATAATAGATTTTTATAAAATAAAATTTCTTCTCGCTATTTGATTACAAAACGTCTCATGAAAAACAAGATGTCTGTCGTCACTTGTATGGCAAGGGCAGCCGCGCCCGGCTATTACCAGCGCCGTCCTGGCGAAACGGGACAATATTGCATTTACCCTGAAACAAAAAATGACAATGTAAAGAAACTTCATGTATTATCATTATTGTAATTCAAAGCTATGCTCATTTTTGTTATTAATTTTTTAAGTAACAACCGAGAGAGAGAGAGAGAGAGAGAGAGGAGAAAAAGAGAGATAGGTATAGAAAGAGAGAGAGAGAGGGGGGAGAGAGGGGCGGAAAGATGCAACGAGAATGCAAAAACAGTGTAAAAGGATAAAAGGAAGTCAAAAGTGTATATATATATATATATATATATATATATATATATATATATATATTTACAGAAGGTCACGCCCATCAGCTCTGCCTGCGCCTTGAAGGCCTTCATGCAGGTATTAAGACAGTCGGTGCAGTATTTGCCGTTATCTCCGATGTAGTAGACCAACACGTCACACCGGTTGTCACACTCGCGGCGACAGGCGACAAAAGCACGCATCTTCAGTCTGGCACTTGCTGGAAATGAGAATGACACACAAGACTACAATCTAATAGCAATTTATAACATTTCCTACATAACTCAATAATAATGTTTCTTTAACTAAACGTGATTTCTTCTTATCAGTAGTTCTGAAAAAAAGCTATCATATGCCATCATGGGCCTCGAAACTGATTTTTTCCCAAACCGCAAATAAGTTATATGGTTTATTTATCAAAAATGATGTGGCAGTTGCAAGTTAAGGTCCTGTCCCAATCCTTGGTTTATAAAGTCCGTATTTACGAGTTCCTTCTGAATTTTTCAATTCGCATACGTACGATCAAAATGCTTAATGATAATTTGGTAGACTTGGAATATTTGATAAACGAGCACGAACGACCTAACTTTTGAGAAAATTAATTCTTTGGGTATGTGTTCGGTAGGTGAGAGAAACTGTTAATTTATGCTGTCATTTCTACACTCACAAACCGCCCACACTGAACCTAAAATAAGCTGCTATGCTCCTTAAACACTGCATAAAAATTGCATTTTACAGCAAGATTTTTTGGTGTTCATTTGCATGTAATAGATAGGCCTACTAAGTAATTTCAAAATAGTTTGATGGGTCTTAGTTTTGACATTAAAACGGGATGTTGTGCCGCTCACGGCTTTTGACTTTGACATTTGCAAGCAGCGAATCAGTGTGTATTTCTTTTTATCCAAAAAAGGACTGGATAAATATAGAAATGTTAATAGAAATATTTACAAATGAGGGAAGGTTATTTAAAAAGTAACATGCATACACCCCGTTTGAATTTGGACTCATCACAATAGTTTGTTTATGATACAATGGGAATTTGACCTGAATTTCCCCAACCAGCTAATGCGCTTTTTTCTTGCAAATAAGAGATAAATACTGGTACATAAATAATTATAAGCTGAATGGAGAAAAACATTCAGGTCGCAGACCTGCATCAAGAACTGCACGCTGATGAATTGTGGTAGATGAGAGCGCATACATTCCGTCACGATCATAATCCTTCACTGGTGTATAATCGAAAAATATCTTGGATCCAAAAGGAGAATAGGATCACAGATCATCACCAAAATGTAAGTATTTTTACGCATCCCCCGGAGATATGCTGAATAGTTCATCAAAATCCATACATAACATTGTGAGTTGTGAGTTAGGCTGGTAAAGTGGCGAACAGAATAGAGGACATCTAGAACTGAAGCTGACCACGTAACTTACATGGCGGAAGTCATTAAAGGCCCAGTCACAATGTCGGCGATCTGTCGGGGATTAGTTTTGGCCGGGGGTCGTCGTAGAAAATAAAGAATCCTTGAACAATCCTAGCAATAATCCTAATAAAAGTGGAGCAGTCACATTGTCTGAGATTTTTCCAAGGGTTTTGACCCGGTTTTGTCGAAAAATCGTGGGATTAGCCTCCTCACGGAGGCGATCGAAGACGATATCTGCGAGCGTCTTTTCTTGTAATTTTTTTCCCCCTGGGTATATGTGGGGGAAAAGGAGACGATCACATAAAGCGTACGAATCGACGCAGGGCGCCTCCGATTCAGTCGGAGGGCGCCGGAGNGCATCGCAACTGATTTGTGACTGGGCATTAAATAAATATAGATAGATAGATATGCTGGAGGGGGGGGGGGGGGGTATTTAATCAAAAAGCAACAAATTCGCCTAATGTGGGGCTCGAACCCACGACCCTGGGATTAAGAGTCCCATGCTCTACCGACTGAGCTAACCGGGCTGTGCACGCCATCACAAACTAGTCCTTTCCAGCGTCATGGGGCAGTGTCTTTTGATTCGGTATTTTTTAATTAAATATAGGTATTGCAGACCACATCAAATGGCATCTTTTTCTTACAGCATACCTTAGCAGTATACAGCTCTGCATAATTAAAAAGGTCACCTTGCTTCTGACATTTAACGACATAATTATAATGGTCAAGAACATTACTCAAAAAAGGATAAGTGCCATTGTTTCGTAGAAGTCGGTACTTTTATGTCACCGTTGTCTGTTAACTTTGGTTAACCAAGGACAAAAGCATGATCTAGCTACTTCCTTCGTCAAACTAAGTAAAGTCATCATGGGGTGATTTTATCTTGAGAGAAGATCAGATGATAACATCAAAGAAAACATAACAGGGACCGGTTTCACAATACAAGTAGACCTATAAACCGAAAATAACCTGCTAGACTGTACATGTACATGTAGTAAATTTGGTCTATTTCAGTACACGGTTAATCAATGCATAATGCATATATCACAGGCCAGATCCTAATCTAGTTCAGTAGGGTCTATGCATTGTTAACCCCATTATGAGCATGTTTATTGGCCAAGTAATTTACAGGTGAGCTGCCAGTTTGTTTGCATGTCGGGTGTAATCATTTTGAATTGTAGATGTTATACGAGGTACATCAAGGTATATCATATTAAACTTAGAAATGAAACTTAGTTTAAAAACATCTGATGATGGTGCTTTTTTAAGACTGTTGCATAAATAATAAAAGAAAAAGCATTTGTATCGATTAAAACACATAGTAAAGGAATATTTGATAAAAGCTGCAGATTTTAGGAAAAAGTCTGCCCATTAATATTTTGTACAGCTTTATAGAAAATCTTTGCAATTTCTTACGAATATGTGAAATGTAAATGAAGTGTGAATTGTCTGCTACCCAATACCCTAACTTTGTACATGTAATATATGCAGGCACATTTATTTAGTAATCATTGTGAAGTGGCCAACATCAGTTTTGTAGAATAACTGTTTTTGATATTATTTGAAACAAAAACGTATAATTCCATAATAATGTATAATTACGTATAGCATGATACTTATTAAATCCAGATCCTACATTTTTCAAAATGCATTATGTCCTAACAAAAGCCCTTATATCAATGTTCCGCACTGGCGTAGGTTAGATGTACAACAAGTGAAAAAAATACTGAGTTCAATATTTTTCACTTGCATAAAATCCACTTTTCTGTAATTAAATGACCAGTATACTCTTGAGAAATGGACATGTTTTCCTAAAATGTATAAAAATTGATAACTTTCCTTGCCACACCTTTAATAAAATTAACCTTCCTTTACTAAATATTTTAATCAATCTAAATGCTCTTTCTTTAAATGTTTATTCAATTATCTTTAAAAAGTATCATCATCAGATGTTTTTTTTACAAACCACATAAAATGAATACGACAAAATTTCATTCGCCAGACCTGATATACGTTGATCTACATGTATGATATCATGTTTTAATTAAACACGACATACAAACAAACTAACAGCTCGTCTGCAAATTACTTGGTCAATTATGGCATTGGCTCATTATGGTTTTAACAATGTAAAGACCCCCCTGATATCTGGCTTTGTCCAATTAGTAACTGGACTCGACTGCTGGGATCTGGTCTGCCACATATCGACATGAAACATAATTATTAAGCTAGCTATATCTCTCCTGCTATAAAAAGAAGCTGAATGCTTCATTTATTTGGCCTAGTTCCGCTAAATCCGGAGTCAAAATATCAGATTTTGGAGTAAAAGTTTAGAATTATTTTCAGACTATAACTGTTTTGTGATCACAGAACCAGGGCCACGCTGCATGTACGCCCATTACAGGCAAGTCTGTTGAGATGTTCTGAAGATTTAATATTTGCATTGTTACCTATCATTTAACAACATGGGTACTACATTGTAGAATTTAACATATAAAACCAGCACTAGTGACGCTGCCTTTCTTTGCTAACAGTTAATTTTAATGGTGTAAATGCATGGTAAAACTGTTTAGAGGAGCTCTTATCAACGCAGCGAGAGTACATTTTACAGACCTGACGCAGTGATTTTATTGATAGAAATGCATTCGTTATTGCACTAAGTACACGTGTATTTGGCTTTATTATATCACAGTTGCCCTAGCAAAAACCTGCCCTGCACAATTTGGAAACAATTCGTTTTGAAAAATAACATCCCTCGGGGAAGCGAGTTATGTACACAATTTTGTCCCTTTAAACGAGTCGCCTTAACAAAACACCCGGCGTGTAAATACCGACTTTCATTATTGGTGACAAATAAAGTCACCATACACGTAATAATTACTTTACCAGTCCAACACTGCCCGGTAAATACAATGTATTACGACAGATATAGTGACCGAATGCCGTCATTTTTGTCATTTTGACGTCGATGAGAAAATGCAGCTTTGTGTGGCACCACAGTTTAAATTATGTTACAGGAAGCAAAATGTTCAATAACGAACTAGCTATTTCGAGTCAGCTATTTAAGGTGGGNACCAAACGTCTCATGAAAAACAAGATGTCTGTCGTCACTTGTATGGCAAGGGCAGCCGCGCCCGGCTATTACCAGCGCCGTCCTGGCGAAACGGGACAATATTCCATTTACCCTGAAACAAAAAATGACAATGTAAAGAAACTTCATGTATTATCATTATTGTAATTCAAAGCTATGCTCATTTTTGTTATTAATTTTTTAAGTAACAACCGAGAGAGAGAGAGAGAGAGAGAGAGAGGAGAAAAAGAGAGATAGGTATAGAAAGAGAGAGAGAGAGGGGGGAGAGAGGAGCGGAAAGATGCAACGAGAATGCAAAAACAGTGTAAAAGGATAAAAGGAAGTCAAAAGTGTATATATATATATATATATTTACAGAAGGTCACGCCCATCAGCTCTGCCTGCGCCTTGAAGGCCTTCATGCAGGTATTAAGACAGTCGGTGCAGTATTTGCCGTTATCTCCGATGTAGTAGACCAACACGTCACACCGGTTGTCACACTCGCGGCGACAGGCGACAAAAGCACGCATCTTCAGTCTGGCACTTGCTGGAAATGAGAATGACACACAAGACTACAATCTAATAGCAATTTATAACATTTCCTACATAACTCAATAATAATGTTTCTTTAACTAAACGTGATTTCTTCTTATCAGTAGTTCTGAAAAAAAAGCTATCATATGCCATCATGATTTTTTCCCAAACCGCAAATAAGTTATATGGTTTATTTATCAAAAATGATGTGGCAGTTGCAAGTTACGGTCCTGTCCCAATCCTTGGTTTATAAAGTCCGTATTTACGAGTTCCTTCTGAATTTTTCAATTCGCATACGTACGATCAAAATGCTTAATGATAATTTGGTAGACTTGGAATATTTGATAAACGAGCAGGAACGACCTAACTTTTGAGAAAATTAATTTTTTGGGTATGTGTTCGGTAGGTGAGAGAAACTGTTAATTTATGCTGTCATTTCTACACTCACAAACCGCCCACACTGAACCTAAAATAAGCTGCTATGCTCCTTAAACACTGCATAAAAATTGCATTTTACAGCAAGATTTTTTGGTGTTCATTTGCATGTAATAGATAGGCCTACTAAGTAATTTCAAAATAGTTTGATGGGTCTTAGTTTTGACATTAAAACGGGATGTTGTGCCGCGCACGGCTTTTGACTTTGACATTTGTAAGCAGCGAATCAGTGTGTATTTCTTTTTATCCAAAAAAGGACCGGATAAATATAGAAATGTTAATAGAAATATTTACAAATGAGGGAAGGTTATTTAAAAAGTAACATGCATACACCCCGTTTTAACTTGGACCCATCACAATAGTTTGTTTATGATACAATGGGAATTTGACCTGAATTTCCCCAACCAGCGAATGCGCTTTTTTCTTTCAAATAAGAGATATATACTGGTACATAAATAATTATAAGCTGAATGGAGAAAAACATTCAGGTCGCAGACCTGCATCAAGAACTACACGCTGATGAATTGTGGTAGATGAGAGCGCATACATTCCGTCACGATCATAATCCTTCACTGGTGTATAATTGAAAAATATCTTGGATCCAAAAGGAGAATAGGATCACAGATCATCACCAAAATGTAAGTATTTTTACGCATCCCCCGGAGATATGCTGAATAGTTCATCAAAATCCATACATAACATTGTGAGTTGTGAGTTAGGCTGGTAAAGTGGCGAACAGAATAGAGGACATCTAGAACTGAAGCTGACCACGTAACTTACATGGCGGAAGTCATTAAAGGCCCAGTCACAATGTCGGCGATCTGTCGGGGATTAGTTTTGGCCGGGGGTCGTCGTAGAAAATAAAGAATCCTTGAACAATCCTAGCAATAATCCTAATAAAAGTGGAGCAGTCACATTGTCTGAGATTTTTCCAAGGGTTTTGACCAGGTTTTGTCGAAAAATCGTGGGATTAGCCTCCGATCGCCTCCGATTGCATCGGAGGCGATCGAAGACGATATCTGCGAGCGTCTTTTCTTGTAATTTTTTCCCCCTGGGTATATGTGGGGGAAAAGGAGAGGATCACATAAAGCGTACGAATCGACGCAGGGCGCCTCCGATGCAGTCGGAGGGCGCCGGAGACTACTCGCAGACATTGAATCTCAACCTGATTTTCCAATCCCACACAGAATATTGCGACTAGTCTCAGATTATTCGGAGGACGCCTCCGATTAATCGGAGGGCATCGTAGGTCATCGGAGATTGTGTCTGGGATGCCCAAAATGGGTGAAAAATCTTGCGAGCAATCTTAAAATTTTAAGTTCAAAGTTGGGGACCGCGACGGGTGTGGCGATGTCTAAAAAATCTGCGACAACCGGCAGGCGTCCGGAGAGCGCCTCCGACGGGTGCAAAATCGTGAGATCTGTCTCAAGATTTTGTTCAAATTTCCTGGGTTTTACCCATCCCCTACGCATCGCAACTGATTTGTGACTGGGCCTTAAATAAATATAGATAGATAGATATGCTGGAGGGGGGGGGGTATTTAATCAAAAAGCAACAAATTCGCCCAATGTGGGGCTCGAACCCACGACCCTGGGATTAAGAGTCCCATGCTCTACCGACTGAGCTAACCGGGCTGTGCACGCCATCCCAAACTAGTCCTTTCCAGCGTCATGGGGCAGTATCTTTTGATTCGGTATTTTTTAATTAAATATAGGTATTGCAGACCACATCAAATGGCATCTTTTTCTTACAGCATACCTTAGCAGTATACAGCTCTGCATAATTAAAAAGGTCACCTTGCTTCTGACATTTAACGACATAATTATAATGGTCAAGAACATTACTCAAAAAAGGATAAGTGCCATTGTTTCGTAGAAGTCGGTGAGAGGTACTTTTATGTCACCGTTGTCTGTTAACTTTGGTTAACCAAGGACAAAAGCATGATCTAGCTACTTCCTTGGTCAAACTAAGTAAAGTCATCATGGGGTGATTTTATCTTGAGAGAAGATCAGATGATAACATCAAAGAAAACATAACAGGGACCGGTTTCACAATACAAGTAGACCTATAAACCGAAAATAACCTGCTAGACTGTACATGTACATGTACATGTAGTAAATTTGGTCTATTTCAGTACACGGTTAATCAATGCATAATGCATATATCACAGACCAGATCCTAATCTAGTTCAGTAGGGTCTATGCATTGTTAAAGCCATTATGAGCATGTTTATTGGCCAAGTAATTTACAGATGAGCTACCAGTTTGTTTGCATGTCGGGTGTAATCATTTTGAATTGTAGATGTTATACGAGGTACATCATTCAAGGTATCTCATATTAAACTTAGAAATGAAACTTAGTTTAAAAACATCTGATGGTGCTTTTTTAAGACTGTTGCATAAATAATAAAAGAAAAAGCATTTGTATCGATTAAAACACATAGTAAAGGAATATTTGATAAAAGCTGCAGATTTTAGGAAAAAGTCTGCCCATTTATATTTTGTATGGTTTTATAGAAAATCTCTGCAATTTCTTAAGAATATGTGAAATGTAAATAAGGTGTGAATTGTCTGCTTCCCAATACCTAAACTTTGTACATGTAATATTTGCAGGGACATTTATTTAGGCCACACTTTTTTTATTTTTATGGATGACATCCTCTGGGGACCCCAAAGTCGGTGCGAGCGGGCGAAAAAAAAAAAACAGTCCAAAAAAAAAAACTGCTTAAGAAAAGTTATGTTTTCAGGGCCTACTTCGTAGAAAGGTAAAAAGTCATGAATATATATGCTGCATATTACCAAATCTATTTAAGGTTATCTCATGCATTCTGTTGGTATAGCAATCAATAAAACAAATATCAAATAAACAGCGTGTCTTTATTTGTACTCTCAGAAAATTAAAGCATTGTAAACACTTCACAGAATTGTTTAAAAAAATGAAGCAAAGATAGGCCTATGCTTCCTACTACTAAGGTAATTTCGGTCGATGCAATTTTGTCTACTTCGACTCACACGTAGCAGCCAACTATCGGGTGGCCTGTCCGACCTTCAGTCCACCAAATACCACGACGCTCTTGTCGACCCTTTTTTCGCTACAAAAAAAACATTGTATGTGCTGCTTTGGACAGAATGTCACTGAAATTTTCCGGGCGATGATCGCTGGCCGCGGCCAGCCTTTCGTATAATTGTAAAAGGGTGATATCTTCATGTCCAATATCAATGGCAAACCAATCCAAAACGACGGCCCCCGTTCTCTTTATGACTTTAATTGTCGTGTATTTTGAAATTAATGCTAGAGATGAATTTGACGGCAAAGCGACCATATTTCCACGTGGTGATAATACGCATGCGCAGAAAGCTCATTTTCCGCACTCGGAACTACTCGGATGTCTCCGCAGTCGACAATGACAGCATGGAGCTTGCGGAATTAGCCGAGGATTGCCGATTGCATTTTCCGGCAAATTCAATAACGACGTTTGCGACAACCGACTTCCTTGGGGGGGGGGGGGGGGGGGATTTTTTTTTTTTTTTTTTTTTGGAGAACGGACGAAAATCGGTGCGCGCGCAGGATGTCATCCATAAAAATAAAAAAGTGTGGCCTTAGTAATCATTGTGAAGTGGTCAACATCAGTTTTGTAGAATTACTGTTTTTGATATTATTTGAAACAAAAATGTATGATTCCATAGTAATGTTAAATTACGTATAGCATGATACTTATCAAATCCAGATCCTACATTTTTCAAAATGCATTATGTCCTATCAAAAGCCCTTATATCAATGTTCCGCACTGGCGTAGGTTTAAAAGATGTACACCAAGTGAAAAAAAAAATACTGAGTTTAATATTTTTCACTTGCATAAAATCCACTTTTTTGTTATTAAATGTCCAGTATACTCTTGAGAAAATGACATGTTTTCCTAAAATGTATAAAAATGAAACATTGATAACTTCTTGCCACACCTTAAATAAAATTAACCTTCCTTTACTAAATATTTTAATCAATCTAAATGCTCTTTCTTTAAATGTTTATTCAATTATCTTTAAAAAGTATCATCATCAGATGTTTTTTACAAACCACATAAAATGAATACGACAAAATTTCAATTGCCAGACCTGATATACGTTGATCTACATGTATGATATCGATAATTTAATTAAACACGACATACAAACAAACTTACAGCTCGTCTGCAAATTACTTGGTTAATTATGACATTGGCTCATTATGGTGTTAACAATGTAAAGACCCCCCCTGATATCTGGCTTTGTCCAATTAGTAACTGGACTCGACTGCTGGGATCTGGTCTGCCACATATCGAAATGAAACATAAGCTAGACATATCTCTCCTGCTATAAAAAGAAGCTGCATGCTTCATTTATTTGGCCTAGTTCCGCTAAATCCGGAGTCAAAATATCAGATTTTGGAGTAAAAGTTTAGAATTATTTTCAGACTATAACTGTTTTGTGATCACAGAACCAGGGCCACGCTGCATGTACGCCCATTACAGGCAAGTCTGTTGAGATGTTCTGAAGATTTAATATTTGCATCGTTACCTATCATCTAACAACATGGGTACTACATTGTAGAATTTAACATATAAAACCAGCACTAGTGACGCTGCCTTTCTTTGCTAACAGTTAATTTTAATGGTGTAAATGCATGGTAAAACTGTTTAGAGGAGCTCTTATCAACGCAGCGAGAGTACATTTTACAGACCTGACGCAGTGATTTTATTGATAGAAATGCATTCGTTATTGCACTAAGTACACGTGTATTTGGCTTTATTATATCACAGTAGCCCTAGCAAAAACCTGCCCTGCACAATTTGGAAACAATTCGTTTTGAAAAATAACATCCCTCGGGGAAGCGAGTTATGTACACAATTTTGTCCCTTTAAACGAGTCGCCTTAACAAAACACCCGGCGTGTAAATACCGACTTTCATTATTGGTGACAAATAAAGTCACCATACACGTAATAATTACTTTACCAGTCCAACACTGCCCGGTAAATACAATGTATTACGACAGATATAGTGACCGAATGCCGTCATTTTTGTCATTTTGACGTCGATGAGAAAATGCAGCTTTGTGTGGCACCACAGTTTAAATTATGTTACAGGAAGCAAAATGTTCAATAACGAACTAGCTATTTCGAGTCAGCTATTTAAGAACTTTTTTCAAGAAATTGATTCATACATCTTTCATAAATGCTTGGAATTTTAACATTGATAAATAAGCTTTTGTGAATATTATTTAAAGGTGCACTATCTACGTCCCAAAAACTTTTTTATGTCTAGCAGTGGTCAGTACATAAGACATAAAGTGCTTATAAAACGATAAAACCCTTCAATGTAGACCGGTGTGACGTAACAGAGAGTCTGCTTCCCATTCATTTGTACAGGTCAGCCTCTCCCTAATATTAAACCATAAAACTGCAGAAGAAATGGTATCCCACTGGGTGGATGGGTCGAGTAAAGAAATTCTTATCTTCAACCTGTTTTCGGTTTGGCAGGAAAATACTTTAAAAAATGTGGAAAAATGATACTTAATCGCCCAATGTGGGGCTCGAACCCACGACCCTGGGATTAAGAGTCCCATGCTCTACCGACTGAGCTAACCGGGCTTCATACAGGTGAGAAAAGCAATCAGTCTACACAGGTGTGTTTATGATTGACCTCAATAACAAACAAAGCAAGCACAGAGCACATTTAGATAAGCAGAGAACGCCCTTAACTACCCGGTAGCCGTACTTCTTGAGAACCCAGGTGCAGGATAGTGTCAATTTGGTCAGTTATCACACGTGAGTAAGAAGATAGGTGTGATATTCAACAAAAAATCCATCACCGTTAAACCTTAATGCTTGTACACAGCTTAAAGGCACTCTATTTACTGTGTATTAACCCGCCAAAATGAATTTTCCTTGATCAAAAAAGGGTCTTCTACTAAAGAACCATTGCTCGTCCAGTTTATTTGGATTCGATGTTTTATTCATTATTAATTGCATAATTCATTTCTAAATGACTGGACAGTTATTTTGAAGGCCAGTCATTTAGAGCGCCGTGTCTTCCTGCACATCACAAGGGAACTATATCATACATGTATATCAGGCGCGTTTATTTGTCTGGTTGTATATATTTAAGATCTGAATTGGAAAAGATACTTTATAAGTAACCCTGTGGTGTATGAAGATAAAGAAAACATGACTTTGAGAAATTTTCTAAAGCGTACAGTATACCAAAGAAATAATTCCCTGTTCAAACTAATTAAAACGATAGAAGAGGGAGGGTGAGTTTGATTGCTGTAAAACATCTTTTATTCATACTGAGTTGCGTGTTATCCACCAATAGCCCACGGGTTGTTTGTTTGCAGATCTCCCTCTCTTTTGACAAACTCATACACACATAAATAAATAAATAAATAAATAAATAAAACGATATTTGCTAGTTTTAAGAATCACTATTTCTACTACAAAATTTTACAAAAGATGCAGGATTAAGGTAGATGAAAGAAAAGCAAAGTTTCTACCTTAAAGCTTACACTTTCAATAGAAAAATTTCGCTTCGTTCTTTCTTCCCTTTTTATATTAAGGCTCGTATTAGGCTTGGTGTATAGTCAGTGCCCTTGCTTGACGTGGAATCAAACGGCTTTACCAAAGATTTAATTCTGGGGCAGAAGGAGTCTTTAGATTGTGATTTATACGGTACGTTTGCTACGGTGTATATTTATACACATGGTGTCAATATGGGGGGTGAACGGTCACAGTGGTCTATAGTCCGAGGGCATCACACCGTCCACGATGAAAAGGGGTAGAAAAACAACAGGGACGCGTTGGTCAACACGGCCATTGTGCCGGTCACTTAATGACATGCTGGATGTATGTTTTCATTCACGTTGAGTAGAGTGCAAGGATCCTTACTCGTTGTCGCTTATAAATGTGTGTGACATTTGTCCGTTTTGAGCTCACGTGTCCACGGGTGCGTTCGGACGGAGATCACGGTCAGTTTAACACCCCATTTCCATAGATTAGATCGACCTACTTTAGACCGACCTAACTCCCTGGGGGTTCACGCTAAACAGCTGTCAGCCGGGCGGACACGAAAGTTAATTATCCCCTTACAGTAGTAGTAGGCGGGACGGACATTTAAGTCGGATTATCTGAAAGTAATCTAGTGAGACTCCCCGCGGGGATAGATCGATCTAAAATCTATGCGAATAGAGCCTAAGTCTAAAACGTGTTTTGGACAGTTAAACTGATTATGGGATTACCGCCGATTTTCAAAACGAAGCCGAGGATAAATCGGTGAAAATGAAACTCCGTGACAGTGGTCCAACAAACTACTGCTTGACTCCTGGTTATTCATATTCTGAATGGTGAAATTGTCCGTCCATTGATTAGTCTACACCTGTACCTCTCTGGGCCGTGATATTGGGGAGGGATGGATTGGGAATAACCCGAAATTTTCATAAAATTTGCTTTTCTAATGCGTTTTTATAGGCAATTACGTTATTTACTTAAGTATAAGTCTATAAAATATATGATTCAAATCTCGCTGGATATATTGGCTATAGATGAAACTGTCGAGAGCGCATTTATTATCATATGGAGAATTCTCTTAGTGCAATAAAATTGGACCCCAGACATATTGGACTAAAAACATGGAAGTTGACCAATTGTTTCTTTTGTGTAATGCTTGTTTGAAAAAAATGTATTGAAAAATGTACTTTGCATCGTAAAAAGTTTAATTTTTAAGAAATAAGGGGACAGTTCCTCTCTCCTCTTTCTCTCTCTCTCTCTCTCTCTCTCTCTCTCTCTCTCTCTCTCTGAAAGGAAATAAACCCGGAATCTTCCTGTATCTTACATATTTCTGTTTTCTCAAAGTGTCCATATGATTACATCAAGACAGGAAATGGCGATCTATAACTGGACTCATAAGGCAATTTCCATCCTTATTTAACTCCCGCTTTCTTAATTTCAAAAAGGGGTCAAATGATGATCAACGCTAATCACCAAGGCAGGAAATGGCTAACTAGATTCATTAGGCAATTTCCATCATTATAACCCTGATATAAACCAGCTATGTTTTAAAAATAACTTGTGTTTATTATCTCTAATGTCATTGTGCCCTATTTTGTGCCACAAATTGGTCCTATTTTAGATATTCCCTGGTATGGCTCTGGCTAATTCATGACATAAACCACCACGTAGGAGAAAAGTGTACATAATTAATCTGCAGCCCTGGTAAAAGGTAGGGTCATTAGACAAATTTAGGTTTATCATCATAATTGGGCACTGCACGTGTACACACGCTGCACGTTTATAGGCTCGCCTCTATATACACACGACCAATAAAGTTGGGAAACATGATTTTTTTTAATAATTAAAAAAATATGTAATGTGGCGGGAGAATCTTCAGTGTCTATAAGAAGTAATAAATAGTGGGTGCATTATCTTTCAATATTTGGTTGAAATATTTACCTAAGTTCACATATGGTTACTTAATAATTTATTCAAAACGATATTGCCTAAATTTTTATGCAAGTGTATAGACCGACCTCTGTGTGTGTGTGTGTGTGTGTGTGTGTGCGCGCGCGAGCGAGGACAAAGCGTGATTTTGCTTCTCCGCCTGCAAAGTCACACAGAATACAGTCAGCCTCTCAAGGAATGTCCCTTATACTTCAGTTCACTGAGCAACTGATCTCAAATGACAGTCAAGGTAAAGCAAATAATCCTATAAAAGTAAGACGAACAAGTCTCTTCACGTTATTCAGTGGAAGCGGAAAATTGGGAGAAAATCTGTTTCAACAGTTCGTAATCTTACACCACGTCTGGAAGATTTGCCGTGTAACCCGCAGATAATAGAAGTGTCACGCAGCGTTAGAATTGGTGGGTTTGAATAAAAAGAGATGTTCGCCCGTTTTTGGGGACTACTGTGCCATCGGCCTGTGTGCTTACCCCAAAAAGAACAGCCGAGGTCTCAGAGACGGCAGTGCAGGGAGGTGCCTCAAACCACACAAGACGCAAGGTCACGGAGAATTACGTATCTTTCTGTAATTCACCGTAAAGGAATAAAAGAGCTCTTTTTTTTCTTCAGTCCTTTTTTCTTTCAAGATTAATGTGGCTCTTCCGCCCTTTTAAATTTTTATCTCTCTTGAAAAAAATATTAAAACGACAAAGCTACGTCCGCAAATAGAATTAGAAAAGATCAGATTTAAGACTATTAGACTTATAGATATTCATATATTTATATATTAGATATTTACCACAACAGAAATACATGTACATGTATATCAGATGTGTTTTTCAGTATTTGCTTTAGCAAACATTTTTTGAAAGTCAGATTCGCACTACATGCATACTTGAGATAAATACACCGACATAAGACTTTCTAAGAGGAAAAGTTAACGTATCGTTACCTTTTAATTCTTCTCGTTCTTTACGAACAGGTGCCTTGGCGGCCGATTCTCTCTCCCGTCCCCTCCTGCCCGCTTCTGTCTCAACCAGCAAGGAGCACAGCAGCGTCAGGAGCAACAGTGACACTACGTAAGACGATCTTCTCTGTCCGGTCTTCTTTGCAGTAACCCCAGTTTTACCAAACATTGTGTCGTTCTTCAATCCAAAGAAGTTCGCCGCTTTTACAGAGCCTACCTTAACGTGTTTGTTAGCGTTTTCACTCCAGTGGGTAAATCACTGGTCTTTAACGGTCACGTCTTTCTTGCTCGTTCACCGATAGTGATAATCAATAAGCCTTAAACTTACTGACCGTGCTGGATTGCAGATAAAGTTAAAGCCCCGTGTCTAAGTTCTTTTCTCTTAATGTCACTTTCCCTCGTTCACAGCCGAGAAGTTAATCGCGCGTGTGGTTGGTGCCGTGGGCGCGGTAGCTAAGTCGTCCGTTCTTTTATCTCTCTTTCTCACTCCCTCTGACTCTATTTCTCTCCCTGGAGCTGGATCTAAGTGAAAACGTTACGGGGCGGTGGGTATAAAGTCCCGTGCACAGAGGACCTCGTATTATGGTTCGCTGTTGTGCAGGGAGGCAAGCAACTTATTTGTCACCCCGTGTGTGCTCAGGTGGGATCGGTCGCCTCCTCAAGCGCATAACAAAGAGAGAGGGGTACAGGGGGCATCTCCCTTCAAAGCCAAAAATACCGCTCTTTGGTACGTATATAGCGTAAAAATGCTGCTATTTGGCAATTATAAAGGCATAAGGCGTCGTTGTAATATCATACACCTACAACAGGAAAAAACTATAGCGGGGATGTGGCGGTGGAGATGATATTGTGCAGTTGCTAGCTTCTCTACCGCATTTTATATCAAATCACTGCCTGTGATTTCACTGCCACGCAACATTGTAATTTCGTTTTTTTTTTTTTAGTAAATCTGTGTCAAGGCGAACCCGATCACAATAATGACTGCGTAATGACGAGATAAGTTAAAGCTCTAGTAGTCCCAAAAAATAACAAATTTCCTCGCTAATGATGCATATGTATGACAACTAGACCTGACGTGAGTAAAGTTTTCTAACATTTATTATCCTAATCATGTATTTATTTTCTTGTGGTGTAAAACTCTGACCACAATGCGTGTATGCTCCTGGGGTGGTGTGAGTACTTTTTTTAAATTTAATTTATTTATTATTTTTATTTATCTAAGGGATTAGTGAGGTACTAAATGCAAACCCATCTCGACTGTATCCTGTTCGAAGCTCCAGTGTTGGACAATACCATACTGGAACACCCCCTTACCACAAATTTACACTGATATTTCCCCACTAAAATAACACTTCGCATCACTCAATTTTAACAATGATGTTTATGATACTCACTCCAGTAAATTCTCCCCTTTACTTTTACACATCCCAAAATTAATAAAAGATATACCCGCGGTAGAAGTCAACACTATTAATTTCCAAATTCATAAAAATATCATTCAATAATGTCCACCAACATGAAAACCAACACCAAATCCGTTTATTGTCTAATAAGCTACAAAACTCAAGTTCAGTACACAAAACTATAAGTACACACACCGGACAACAGAAGTGTCACCCTTACTGAACCAATACTTTGAGAGAGATTTATGACTGTGTAATGATATTCTCCTGGTAGGCCTATCATTTTATTAATATCAAATTTCACAAAAAGATCAACAATACAATTCCATGGTACAGCAGTTTTATACTCATCAGTCACATTATAAGTAGACCAAGCATTATTACAACTCAAGATCTACCTACTTTGATTACTCTGATTCAGGGGGTGACAGTTCCATTGTCCATTGTGTGTATCTCTGTAAGATTTATGCTGCAGGTGAAATTGAAATCCAGTCAGATTTAAATTTGGCCTAGGTCAAATTAAAACTGCAATTATGCTAAATTAAGATTTGACTATATTTTAAGTGTGGTTAAAATTCAGCATAACAGCAGAAATATTAAGGGAATATCATCATGAATATAGTTAAATACAATGTATGCTGAATTTTCCTCATTAACTGTCAAATTTTAGATTATAGGAAGCATAATGTCTAATTCGCCACAGTCCTAGATGTCATTACTTATTTTGATAATTATTTTAATTGTTAGAGGTAGGTATGACATTGCTTTAGTGTTAATTAAGGAAATGAGTTTAAAGGGGTGATTAGGCCATTTCTCGACCTCTGACTCTCGAGCAGTTTACACGCTCAATGTACATTGTAAACCCTCCAGCTCGTATCGAAGTGTTTTAGAAGAATCTGATAATCATCCAACTTGCCACAAGCGAGACACTTGTGATCAAACATGAAACGAATAAAATAAGACAAGATGGCTAGTATCATTAACATGGCGAGACACCATTGGCGAAAATCATCCAACAAAAGGGGGATACCTTTTTTTACTGACCGAGCCCCTCCTCACCCCCCTCACCCCCAAATTTGGCATCTTTTTCTCTCCCCTCTCCCTGGACTTGTAGCAGATGAAGGTCACTTTTGGGCTGAGAAGCGCTCCCTGTAACCAGTCCACCACCCCCATTCCCTAAACAGGCAGGGCTACCGGGCCTACCCAACTACCAGACTCTGCACCGAATGATCCTGAATTCACCGGTAGACTAGACCACACTACCCGTTTTCAAGCTGTGTATCAGTACGCGCTTCGAAGTATCAGACGCGACACGGCTCTTGTGTAGTACGCTATGTGATAGGGATGATTCTGAGCGGGATTGGAAAGTAGTGCATCTCATCTCAAAATTTGTTACGGGGTATGATAGTGTGAAATGCGATCTACCGGTGAATTCGGGACCATTCGGTGCCGAGTCTGGTATAGTTGTGTAGGCCTGACTACTGCACTGCCGTGTTTACCTCGGTCCACAATTAGAGGCGAGGCACCTAAATCGCATTTGTCAATGATACATTACTGTTCTACAATTTTTTCTGACGACAAAAATTCCACCATTCTTTATATATATATATATATATGGTTCAAGTTATTCTGACAAGATATATCTGACAACACCATCAACTGTAAATTCAGTTTCATATTTACCTACCTCTAACGATTAAGATTACTTTCAGCATGTACTAGTACCAAAATAGTCATAAAATCTAAGCTTATGTTGAATTTAAAATTATGCTTCCTATAATCTCGACTTTGCTAATTAATGATCATCAAAAGATAAAAAACACAGCTATAATGTGCTTTTACTATTTTTACATTGATATTCACTTAAGGGATAATAACTCTTCGTGTGAGGTCTATATTTCACAATAAAAACATTGTGAATAACTCATAGAAATATAATATATTCTGTTTTACGGCAAAAACAGCAGTTATAGCTATTATTCTGATATCTGAGCTTGTCTTCAGACCACGTGACCTCCATTGGTGGCTATAATCTGTTATAATCTCTTAAGAGATTTTAACAAAAAACCAAACTTTTTAGAAAAAACAGAGACTAACTTTGAATGTAAAAATGGATTCATTAACCATTGGTAAGTATGGGAAATTTGTTGTTTATTCCAGGAAAATTCATTTTTTGGCCAAAACAAAGAGTTATTATCCCTTTAATTTTTTTCATGTTTCTTCTGGCAAATTGAAATTACAATCTTACCTAATCAGATTTTAATATTGCCTAGTCAGATTTTAAGGATATTGTAACCCTTATTTTCATCCAGATACCGGATTTCCTGCATCTTAATATTCAATAATGCATATATCTTTGTGCTGATTTAAAGCAATGATAAAACCATCAGGTTTTAATATTGCTTAGTCAGATTTTATTTTAAATAAAATAACCCCTTCTGACCAGCCTGTTACTTCAGATTCAAGTTCTTCAGTGTCCCTTGGGTCAACTTAAGAGAATGAACCATCTTCTTTTATCTTTGACAATGATATGCACTTAATATTTCTACTATTGTATATGAAATACAGTTGTCTCTTCCAAATACAGAAGAAGTTCATCTTAGAGGAGCTAAAGAAACCTTGTGCACCTGTTCACCCAAAGCAAACACAACACCCATTTAGATTAACAGTACAATACTAGTAATCATTTGCTCCTCTGCGACAGATAAAATAACCCCTTCTGACCAGCCTGTTACTTCAGATTCAAGTTAACTGAGATATCTCCTGAAGTAGCTCCCTACATAGTGGGTACATCCAGAGCCAATCCCCAGGTCTTCAGTGTCCCTTGGGTCAACTTAAGAGAATCAACCATCTTTTTTTATCTATGACAATGATATGCACTTAATATTTCTACTATTGTATATGAAATACAGTTGTCTCTTCCAAATACAGAAGTTCATCTTAGAGGAGCTAAAGAAACCTTGTGCACCTGTTCACCCAAAGCAAACACAACACCCATTTAGATTAACAGTACAATACTAGTAAGATAATACATATATATAAACATATAGCTTAACTGGTTTATACACCAAACTGGTTAGTACGTCAACTATACACACTCTAGAAGTCTATAGTTCTACACTAACAAAGTGCGATACATAAAAACTAACTAATTGGCTTTCGTTAATAACCCCCTAGCATTCTGAATAGGCATGGCAGCATTTTCTACCGCTTTCATTGTATGCAATTTAGCAAGTGTCCCCGTAGAGTTAGATCGATCCAGCTAATACAATGGGTTTATGGGAACGCTCCCTAAACCATATCACTAAAATATATAAACACACCAGAGCCTCATGCTCTCTCCACGCCTCTTATATATATATATAAGGGCCGCTTAGCAAAGGATTGTGCGCACAGTGCCTTTGATCGTAACTCTGCATACGGGGCAGCTTTTCAACGCCGGAGCACACTCTGCGCAAGAGAGCAAGTGACCACATGGTAGAAATGTGATGCTGATCTCCTCATCCATGCAGATTTTACAGATCCGTTCATCTCTAAGACGCTGATTTTCCTCAATGAGAGATTGGATATCTGAAATATATATACCTGATCACAAGATTATATATATACAGACCTGACATTTAATATGGAATATTTCAGTTTCGAAGATATGACTAAATAAAAATGCGTTCTTTTTTCAAAGAAATCCGTTCTCATATAAGATATGTGAATGGAGAAGTGTGTAGTCAAGTGTGTCGCTACAAAATAACTGACTACCATGTCTATTGCACTGCTGCATCATGCAATATGCAATGTTTTAATTGGGCAGTGCACCTTTAGACTGGTCCAAGGTTGAGTGTGCCAAAGCATGGTTCTGTCAAAAAAGTATCCATATGTCGGCAACTACTGCATATATAATAAAAGAATTTGAAATTTTGCATGCAAGCGCACTGTATTGCAGTGCGTAAAATGAGCTAGGTGGTGTTTTGAAAAATGCTTTATCTGTGGTAGAATGGTGCTTAAAAGACAGACATTGCCAGACAGATTATTGCGCCAAACAGAACGGTCCGCACAGTTTTATAGAGTAATGTCCAGACTGATGTACCTACACAGAGGCCACACCCAATGTATCAAATTCTTATAACCAGGGTACAGGGCTCATTGTCTGTCGGGATATGCTGCTGCAACTAAAC